ACTGGGCAGGGTTTGGCTCCGTTTGCACAGGCTTGCTCTGAGTTGGGGACAGACCCGCTAACCACTAACAGCAGCAGCATCCCCTTTATCACTTAGACCAGCGGTTCTCGACCTGCGGGCCGCAACCCCTTTGGGGGCCCAGCGACCCTTCCACAGGGATGACCAAAGAGCATCGGAAAACACATATGTCTGATGGTCTTAGGAACCAAGACACCACTCCTCTATCCATCACCAGGTGGGTCGTCCACATGCAGACAGGCTGATCTGGTGAGAACGAAGCTATCTCAACCTTGGCACTGACGTTGGCTTTTTTGCATCCTGTCCCGAAATGTTGCAATGTCGTTTACTGTTGTTCTGTTAAGACTGGTACCCATGCTACACCATGCTTCAAGACAAAATTCATTGATTTGTAATTAAAAATAAACATTTCAAAATATACAATTTCATATTGTTTTTGTGATGAATCACTATGCTTTCATTATGCTCACACTAACAATGAAAATACATCCTGCATATCAGATATTGACATGATGATTCATAACAGTAGCAAAATGACAGTTATGAAGTAGCAACGAAAATAATTTTATGGTGGGGGCATCACCACAACACGAGGAACTGTATGAAAGGGTCTCAGCATGAGGAAGGTTGAGAACCACTGACTTAGAGTGACCCAATTGCTTCTGTGAGTGATCAAGGATTTTTAAATGACTGTTTTAAGCTACTTTTCACCATATAGTTCATATAATCTTTGATGAAGCCTCATTGATTGCTACTGAAAGTGTATCTTTTCATAATACTTTGTTTACCCAGTGGGGTTTGTCAATTAATATGGCTGCGTGCTTCTTCCTTAGTTTTCATTTCTTTCAGGCTTTGGTCCCGCTGCCTTGTGATAATATATATGTCTTTCTTAATATCATCTTTGTCTTAAAACAAAAATAATGTATTTCTTGCTAACAGCCAAGGCAATGCCACTCAACTAGTAGAAAGAATCTTGGACTTTGTTGGTTTCCTTCAGCCGCCATGTGAACATACGTACCTCTGTGAGGCAGAGCTTTGGAGAAAAGGAGACACTGAAATGAAAAACAAGTTTCTAGCTGGAATTCACATCAAAGAAGATATTACCCTGCGAGGCCTTGCTCTACACCAGTTAGAGATAGCCACGGGCCTTCTTGTTGGCCAGCTTGGCAGCTGTAATTCTTGAAGCTTCTTTAATGATACTTTGTAGTTTGTACTGCGATCTCCTATTATTAAAAGATTGGGCTCTACATCAAGGAGGCATCCCATGCTAATTTCTAAATGAGGGTCGTAGTGGCACTCGTGCTGTGAAGAAAATCAATCCACACAGATGCGTTGAACATATAGCTTAGGATCACTTTGGTTGATCCCCAAACCTCCATGATTGTGAAATGAGAATTCACTAAATCAGACTTCTAAATCAAAAGGTAGAGAAGATTCAAACATTGTGCAAGAGATGAAAAGCATATTGAGAGGAGCACTTGTATCCTATATGTTATACATGAGGAATTGTGTCTAAATGGTATTAAATTATTTCCTACAATCACATAGTTAAAAAATGTCCACAAAGGAACCGATCCCTAAGCATGTAGGACTTGTGTTTTCCAGCATTGTGAATGTACTCAAAAGCAGTGGATTGCAGACTGTAAAATGATTAATTTTACCTCATAGGAATGTTACCTCAATAAGGAAAAGTACATAAAAAAATTAAAGTCTATGATTTTTAGCCACCAGAATTTCCAAGTCGGGTTTCTCTTTGCTGTTCTTCCTTCAGCGTGGCAAGATGAGGTGGGCAGTAGGCACTTTGTGTAGAAGGCATATTCATCTCCCACGGCTACCCGTGAGCCTCTGGGAGATAGAGGGATGTGCCGAGTGGTCCGGGATTGACTGCAAGAGAAATGAATTGGAAAGGAAGTAGACTTTCCCATGGCTTACGTTGCCCAACTCGGCTCAGGATAGGTGGGCCCACAGGCTTACAGCAGTGAAGACCTTCCTAGTGACAAGCTCTGTGCTTGAGCTGGAGTGGTCCTGGGGTCATATTGTGAGGAAACCAGGCATGATGAATTTCTTCTTGTGAGTGTAATCCACAATTACCACCTCATAGGTTGAAGGCTCAGGATAGTGATAGTGAAGAGATTCATTCACCCACTGAGCCTCATTATGTGCCAGCCTCAAGGTGCATAGCGGTTGAGTCAGAGACTTGGATGTCCCTCATCATGTTTATAGCTGAACAGAGGACACATATACTGAACACACAAGGGCTAATAAATATGTATATACAATTACTTTTCCCTCAGGGCATGTTACCACACTGTATAAAAAGATGGGATGGAGGTTACAGCAGGGAGACCTGGCTGAAATTGGTTGGCGGTACGTAGTGCATGTGGTGGGTGATGGTGCTTGAGAAAGCATCTCTGAGGAGCCCGTGTTTCCTCTGTCTCTGAAAGGGGAAGGGGAATGTCGTCAGACCAATTAGAGAGAAGGCAGTGGAGAGGCAGAGTTGGGTTAGACCTGAAAGCTCAGCAGGCCAAGTCAGACAGATCTAAGATCTAATTCTGACTCCATTTCCTGAGGCTTGCCCGTCTCTTACCTTGAGTTTTCTCATCTGAGAAATGGCGATAATAGCACCATCTTTCCCCGGGTTGAGTGACGATTAAATAAGACTGAACATAAAGTGCTTGGTCTTTTTGGGGTCTTCCTCATCTTTTGATCTGTCATCGACAGTCCCAGGAGCAAAGAAGCTTCTCCCAGTTATTGCTTCACATTCAAAGATGTTCACAGTAAGGTCTTTAAGTAGCCAAAAAAAAAAAAAAAATGGTAACCATACTTTTGTGGGCTGTCAAGTGAATTCAGACTCCTAGCCACTAGGAGGTTGCTAAACAACTTATATAATTATATGGTTGTGTAATATCAATTACAAAGTGCTGTTTATAAAGAATTCTCTACTGCCATGGGAAAATATTCAAGATATAATCAGGAATAGTGCATATCTCTCCTGAACTATTTTAAATAAACTCTAATGTCAAGTCTGTAAAAATAGTAATAGACAGATGCATGACCATGGAGTGGAATACTAGCATTCTTTATATCTGGGTTTGGAGTCCTAGTAGCACTGTGGTCAAAGCTGCCAACTGAAAGGGCGGTCCCTTGGGCCCACCAGCCACTCTGCAGGAGCAAACTGTAGCAGTTTGCTTGTGTGGAGGTTTCAGCATTAGAAACCCAAGGAGATAGTTCTGCCATGTCCTACAGGGTGACTGTGAGTTGGAACTGACTTGACTGCAGTGGGCGGATGGACGCATCATGGGGTGCATTGTTGTTGTTAGGTGCATAATCTACTGTCAACTTGAGGAAGGGGTAGAGTCTAGCCTGTCAATCAGGCCATAGTTTAATGTCCTCATTTGGAGGCATGAGGGAGGTAAGTAGCTCACTGGAGGCTAGATACACTTTCTCTGTGAGACATTCCTGATGACAAGCCACATGGAGCTACACTGATGGAGCCAGAGCCCTGGAGCTGAAGGAGCTACATGGAGACCCACATAAGCACTGAGATGCTTCCACCACCGCTGGATCCACACGACTTTCCACTCACTGGCCTGAGATCTTCCTGAATTTGGCTTCAATGCATGTGTTGCGTGAGCCTAAAGTAGAATTTAAGGACTGGTTTCAGACATGTTGGCTAATATCAGACTTATGGACTTGATCTGGACTGGGCTGGGATGTTATCTTAATACACAATTCTCTTTGATATAAAACTCTCTCTTACACACATGTAAGTGTCTCTGGATTTGTTTCTATAGTCAATCGGACTAACACAGTGCCCTTGAGTCAGTCAAGATTTATTTTATAGTAAAAATGCCATGCAAAACATGTTGTCTTAAAAAAATAGAAAGCCAAAACCAGGCTGATCATATAATGCCTAGTTTATCAGGAAAGGAGGAAAGAATGGTTGGATAAATGTCGAGAGAACATCCAGTACAATACACGGACTCAGAGGCCAGTGGAGTAGCTGCCATGCCAATGGAGGCCCTCTCGACAGGCGTTTCACGGAGCAGGATGTAGAGTGAGGTGAGAGGCTGTGGGGAGCTTGCTATGGATTCTCTGTCCAGGGTGTAGTCCTTCCTAGTTGCTGTTGATTCCATGCTGACCCATGGAGACCCCATGTATGCAGAATCGAACTGCTCCATAAAGTCTCCAAGTCTGTGAACATGTGGATGCACATTGCCAGACTTATCCTCCAAGGGACCCTTACAAGGGTTTGAATCACCAACCTGTCAGCCAGTCATCATGCAACCATTTGTGCCACCCAGGAATCCCTTAACTCTTCGTAATTTCTTGTGGGACATAAGGTATCAAAGGACTTCGGATTACTTACTATCCTTTCTTTCTTACTTTCTTCTTTTTTAAAAATTTCCCTTTGCTTAAGAAACCACCTCTAGACATTCAGCGGGCTGAATGCTCACAAGTGGCATATATTTGGCATGGTTCCCAGAATCAAGTTGATCCCCAGGCTTACTCCAAGCAAAGCAGTGTGTGCTAAAAGCTTCATACGGCTTCTTTGCAGCCAACACAGAAGCGAAGTCCCTAATATTTCTAACTCCTTTAACCACTGATTTAAATGCTTCCCAATCCCTGCACATTGTTATCACTTGCCATTTTGTCACTTTCTATGCCCATCCCGTGAAAGACTTTCCTCCCCAAGAAGTGTTATTCCCTTTTCCAAACTGCTTTGCTTACCGATCCATAAATTTCTGTTCCATATCAAGCACTCCTTTTTACAATGATGATGCCCATGAGCAGAGAATGATTCGCACGAGCCCATTATAGAGTGGCTCTCAATGACAAGAAAACACTTTGCCCTTCAAAGAAGAGATAAAAGACTAAAGTCATCAAAATCATGTAATATCCTGTGTGAAATGTCGCAGTCACGATGCCTGTGGTTTGACTGCCTTGATTATATGTCCCCAGAGAGGTACGTCGGTCGGCAGATGACTGAGCCTCTTAGGCTTCAGCAGAAGCATCTTCAGCTCTTCATTGCTCGCCAGGCTTTATAGGGAGAAGGGGCTGGAGTTCTGGACCATCATTAGGACAATGATCCTTAGGCTGCTCTTGGCTCTCAACTTCTTCCCCTTCATTGAAGCAGGTAAAAAAAGAGAATGATTTCTGCCTTTGCTTTTGAGCTCTTGTCATCTCTGTTGGCTTATTTTAAGTGTCAAACAATCGGTGAAATTTGGCCATCTGAAGGGTAGTTTAGCCCTCTCCATGGCAGACTCGTGGATGCTCAGGCGATGGTATAGACTTCACCATAAGCCCTTTGGAATGGAAGATTTATTAGTGATGGGTTGAGTGTGTCCTAGGAATTTTAGCACATAGTTTTTGTCCTCCCCCCTTTTTTTCAATTTAAGAAAACTGCTACAAGCAGATTGATTGGGAGGGCTCTGAATACAGACTGTCCGCATTCGTATCACAGATCCATTTCTTACTAGTTGACCTGGGCTAGTATTTAAGTCTCTCATACTCAGTGTGCTTATCTATAGAATAGGAATGCTAGTTAACCCCGTCATCCCATCATTGTAAAGATAATATGAGGTAACCCATGTAAAATACTTACTTAGCTCGGGCAGTGCTCCGCTAAAAAGATGCTTGTTGTAATTGCTATGTCTATCCCAATTGAATGTGTTCAAACGTGAATTTTGGAGACATCAGGGAAGTTAGTATCATACGATGCTAATACATTTATGTTCATTCAGGATTGGTAGAACCTGTATTCTTAGATTAAGTCTCTGTAAGCTCCCAATGATGAAGAGGAGGATGATCTAGCTATAGAACTTTTAGAACATTTACTTTGGTGCAACATTCAATTTTGAAACTACAAAGTCGGTAACTACAGTTCACTACTTGTCAGATGAGGATACTGAGGGATGGTAGGATATACAGGGAGTTAATTTCAGAAGCAGGAGTCCAACTACTTTAGCCTGATTCCAGAGACTTGATCTTGAGCCTTGTTTATCCCACCTATGGCGATGTGGTTTGAAATTTCATGGATGTAGAGAAATTCAGGGCTAACTCATCTTCTGAAAAACATAGATCCAAAGAGAATTGGTTTGTTCCTTTGTTGGGCTGTGGTGAGGTGCTTATTTAACTTGCTACCAGAACTAGAAAAGAGTCCCACTTGGCTCCAAAATTGGACTGATAGGTATGGACTGACTTGTATTACTGATAGTTACTTTTTCTTTAACAATAATAATTAAGGCTTACCCACTGCTCTCAAGGCCATGTGGACTCCTAGTGACTCTGGAAGATAGCGTCGAACTGCTCCTGTGAATTTCTGAGACTGTAACTCTTTATGGGAGTAGAAAGCCCCGTCTTTATTCCAAGGAGTGGCTGGAATTTTGAACCACTGACTTTTCAGTTAGCAGCCCAATGCTTAACCACTATGCCACCAGGGCTCCTTGGAGTTAAGATGATTATTTAAAATTTTCTTTCTCATTTATTTGGGGGGGGGTGCAGAGACTGCATTTAAAAATTGTTGTTCATAAGCGCCATATTATGTGCTCTAAAGGGTGTAACTTTCCAACCTGCAGAAGTACACTAGTTACACATATACCCGTTTCTTTCATCTGATGCCAGTGAATCAGTATATTTGCCAATTTTGTGTACTTACTAAAAGATATTTATATGATACAAGATTTGAGCTATTGGTAAGATACATTATGCCCCAGTTTCTGGAACCAAACACTTAGAGCTACCAAATGCATATAGTGAGAAGCTTTAAAGTTAAAAATAAATCTTTAAATTTTATTTTAAGGGATCTTTAACAATTATTTTAAAAGAATCTTTAAAGGTTATTTTTTTTTAATGTGTGTAAAGTGTGGCCAGAAAGGAAAAGGCAGCCTCCACCTGACTGACAATTCTTCACATGGGTATTGTGTACAGACGTCTTCCGACTTGCCCTACATTTCATTTACTCTCTTTTGAAGGTTTCGTGTGTGTGTGTGTGTGTGTGTGTGTGTGTGTGTGTGTATCTAAAAGGATTATATTTTCCTTTAGGACATGTATTAAAAGGGGATAGCAAAAAGCAAGCAAGCAAGAAAGAGCAGCCAGCGAGTTCCCACACCCAGAGGGTTGGTTTTCAACTTTGTGTGAAATTTCTAACTTTCAAATGTCAATTCAGCCTGTGTCTGAGAGTCTCAGGAAAATTGGCCATCGAATGAAGTAGAAAATGGGAGAGGATGGAAAGAGATACTAGTGAAATGCCTCTTCTAGTAAGACCACTGATGAGAAGGAAAATTATTGTAACCTACATAAACATATGGACCAGTCTAAGCAAGTGGTGCAAACCAAGTGTTCCATGTGCATTTGTCTCTGTTTATAGTCTCCTTCCCTGGAGAGATTATAGATAAGGCCAAACTCTCTGGTCAAAGTGTGATCGTCCTCCCCAGCATCATAAAAAAACAAAACAACCCATATGGTATTAATGGTATATCTGTGTCAACATCTGTCCATGTACACATATATCTACACATTTGCTTATCTATCTATCTTTCTACCTACCTACCTATCATCTATCGATGTATCATCATCATCATCATCATCTATCTACCTACCCATCATCTATCTCTCAATACTGTTAGGTGCCCTGAGCCGGTTCGGACTCATGGTGGCCCTACAACAGAACAAATGCTGCCTGGTCCTTGCCAGCCTCACAATCATTGCTATGTTTGAACCCATTGTTGCAGCCACCATGTCAATCCATCTCGCTGAGAGTCTTCCTCTTTTTCACTGACCCTCTACTTTACCAAGCATGATGACCCTTTCCAGGGACTGGTCTCCTCAGAACATGTTCAAAGTGCGTGAGAAGAAGTTTCATTTTCCTTGATTCTAAGAAACGTTCAGCTGTATTTTCTGAAGATGGGTTTGCTCGTTTTTCGGGCCGGCCGTGGTATACTCTGCGAATGCCATCATTCAAAGGCATCCGTTTTCTTTGTTCGTTTGTTTTCACGCACATAATTATTTACCTGTTAATTTAATCATTCTAATCCATCGATGTCTAGCATGTCGTAAACAACTTCATCCTAGGAAGGGAAAGCTTTATTCTGACAATCCTTTAGAAAGGTCTTTCCAGCTAACTAAAGAAGTATAGTTTAGGAAACGTGAGGAAACTTTAGCTTAGAAAAGTTCATGACTCGAGTTACATGTTTCCCAACCAGACGTGCATCAGTGAGCGAATGAGAGCCACAAGAGAGGGTGTGTGTGTGTGTGTGTGTGTGTGTGTGTGTGTTTAGAACATGAACCCAATGTGGACCAACAGACCCTTGAAAGGGAAATGACTAGTGGTTGATGATAAGAGTGTGTACAGAATTCATGGCGAGTCTACATGTTTTCAGTCAATATTGGCTATATCTCAGCAAGCTGATCACCTGGCTAAAGGCGACATCAGGACAGTACCCCGCATTTTCCAGTGGGAGCATTTCTTTTCATTTCTCCTCATACTTTAACAAATACGCCGTCCACACGGTCAGCTTGGACATGAGTGATTTCCCCTCAGCCGCTGCTTTCTCTGAGAGAGGCACCAAAGGCAGGGAAGTATTGGTGTTTAATTTTAAAAAGTCACTGGCGAAGCAAAGTAATTAAAACCTTCATTTTTGATCCAGCTTTCCACAAAGGGCCCCTGTGAGGCACTTGGACACAGCGAGAGCTCAGTGACCTCTCCTGGAAGGGGGTTGGAACTCAAGGCAGGAAGATGAACACGGCGCAATGCAATGGCCCCGGAGTGTGGGCATCGAGGAGGCAGGCCGGAGCCAGGTCTCCTGACGGGGGGCACATCCACTGAAGGGTTTGCCACGCCAAGCAAACCTGACAGCTATTTCAGCAGGACAGACGTTGCTGAAGAATTTGTTTACCCCACTACCATTTCCTCAAGTAAAACACTGCTTTGTTGTTTTTTCCCCCCCAGGTAATTATTAGCAAGGATGTTTACAGCAAGGACTATAAAATGATGATCAATCTACCAATGCTAGGAATGAGAGCGAGTCATTTCCACAGATAGATTAGAAATAGAAAATGAGTCTGTGATCTGAACTTTGAAGTGCTTACTGGGGAGGGAGGGGCTCTCCTCAGGCTGCCCAGGTTAAGACACAAGCCCTCTTCTTCTAGAGCCGTTGTTTTTGCTTCATGGGTGGAGAAATGTCATACCACTGCCTCCATGCTTTTTTAAAAAATCGTTTTGTTGGGGCTCTTACAGCTCTTATAATAATCCATACATCACTTGTACCAAGCACATCTGTAGAGATGCTGCCACCGTCCTTTTCAACACATTTACTTTCTACTGGAGCCCTTGGAATCAGCTCCTCCGTTTCCCTTCCCTCCCCCCTTCCCCAATGTCTTTCACCAACCGCTGTCTCCCCTCACCCATATTTCTGTATGCGGCAGTCATGGCAATCGGTTCCCCCAGCCTGGATTCCGTGTTCCTGTCTGCATTCATCAGATGGGGGTATCTTCCTCCCAGGATTCCTGCACTCAGTGTGCTGACATTCACCAAACGAAAAACTTCGTCCTGGAGGAAAACTCTGTGGCTTATCATTCCTCCCTCCCCCCCAAATAGCGATTTATTAACTAGCATTGGCATTGATACAGAGACCCAGTCGCATCAGACTTTCTGGTGTAAACATCAGAGGGCAGGTCCTTTTTCCAGAGCATCATTATTTTGCAGTTGGCCACTGAAGGAGACTATCGCTGCTGGTTCTCATTTCTGTGAAATTATGTTTGCCTTTCTCTTCAAGGAATTAATTATTTATAGAATTTTCCAGAAGCGAGAACTTTTTTTCTCAGTAGATAATTTAGTTGAGCAACAGGAAAAAAAAAAATCAAATAACCCCAGACTATGACATCTCTGTAGCTTGCTGACGGCCTGAAGTGTGTCTGTGTAAGTGGGGAGGGCTCAGTTTTACTAAGTTGTGTTAGAGCACCTGCCTCTCTTTTTTTGTGGTCATTTCTTTGAAACTTTTGAAAGAAAATCTTGATATAGTGCTGGCACAATAAACCATGCACACCAAAATTTCAGTCTGAGATCCTGTATAAGATCCGTCAGTGCCTGAAGCTGGAGGGATGGGAACCCAGGCCCACTGAGTTGTTTTCAGGGAG